TAGGTTTCTATCCCTTAAGGTACAACTTTTACTCACAATAATCGGTCTCCGCTGTCTTTGGAAGTCTTTTTTACCTGCTACATGCGGTTCAGATGATGCCCGTGTTGCACTCACCGGCTGTTTTTGTTTGTTATTTTAAATGCGCTGCCATTACTACCAATCGAGCAAAGAACTGCTCATCATATTACTCACGCCGTCCTAGCCTCCTTTACAAGTCACAGTTGAGGCCTTTCGTCTTAAAATCCTAAGCCTCATCGATTTCATTTGATTTGCAGTAATTGCGTACATCATTGCGGCGCGTTGTTGATGCTTGTGTGCTTCATTGTTATGCTGACTTGCAGCACTTTTTTTGTTTGATTTGTTGCTTTATTCCTCATTACTTCTCCATTTCTTCATTCTCTTTTTTTTTGTTGTCGTTGCTTGTATTGGCATTGTTGTTGTTGTTATTGCAGTTGTTGTTGTCATTACTGTTTTGGCAGTTGTTGCTGATGTTGTCGGAATTAGCAACTCGCAAGTGCATTCAATTGGCTTCATCTGTGCAGGCTTCATTTTTGCACATTTTTTCAATGGTGCGACACAGCGCGCCGCATTCATTTCAGCAGTTGCATCAGCAACAGCAGCTCAAGTTCCTGCTTTGTTGTTGTTTTTTTTGGTATGTTGTTGCATTGTTGTTGATAACAGAATATTTTTATAATTTTACCGTTATTACCGGTAAATAAGCGGTCGTAACCTGACATTAAATGCTTGTGGCTAATTTTTTTAATTTAATTTTTAAGTTGTTGTTTTTGTTTTTGTTAATTTCATTGATGCGCGCAAATTTTTGCGGCTTTTGTGGGAAAATTGAAGTTTCATTATTCGTCGTTTTATTCGTCGCTATTTTAATTTTCACAAAATTGGATTCGTAACGTCGGGTTAGTAAGTTGGAAACCCTTAAACTATACGCTGTCGGTGGGTTAATTGACCTCAGCACAGTTTTAATTTAGAGAAAATTAAATAAAAATTACAAGTAACATAGCAAAAGGGGGGAAAGATATAATGTCGTATCTACACTGCTAGTCTTATACTTAGAGACTATAAAAAAATAATTTTTCATATATTGACATATAAGTCAATGAGATTTTATAATACATTTACAAAAGTGAAAGAATTTAAAATGGTTTGAAAAAAGTTGATTAGATAAATTAATATAAAGCCGATGCTAGATTCAAAGCAACCAGCGTTCACTTAAAACTCAAGGACTAAAATCATTTCCGAAAGCATTCATACATTGAAAAACAGTTAAATAGAAAATTAATCCAATATAAGAAGCACCTTCAATAGCACTTATTGAAGTAATTGATTCAAATATTGAAAATATTCTTAAGGCCCATAAATTTTATTGTTCCAATAACTCCATACTAAAGCTAACAAAAATATATTAAAAATAATACCTTGTTTAAGAAGAAAATTTGAAGGTACAAAACTCTAATATACTTTGTATGGTCAGCCAAACTTCAATAAATTAATTAATTAAAATTTTTATTGTTGTCATTTCATTTCTATTTGAACCCTTCTAACTTTTTGATAGTTTCTTTTTGTGATAAGACACGTCACTTTCGATATAATGTTGTTTTTTACCGATGCTAGAAACTTGAAGACTAAAACAAATTTAAGTATCAGGAGCAATGACACCTGAAGTAGAGGCATTAACAAAGACTTGCATTTACTCGGAATATAGCACCATTAGTGTTATATTTCGGGTGCGAGTCATATTTCTATCAGAGACTTAGTTGCGGACTAATCAATTCTATATTAATAGTCACGTTTTATCGTCGAAAAATCATTGGGACTAGGCACCCATCAAAGTACTACTTGCTTTTGCTTGTCAGTTGCTGCTGCATGGAATGCAGACCATAGCGGTCCAACAAAATTTTCAAAGAACTTCAAACAGGATTGCTGTTTGATAATATGGTAGATAAATAATATATATAGACACCTTTCTAGGTTTGGTGAAGGTAATAAATATTATTTTTATAAGTAACTTTGGTTTACGAAAAATATTTTAAAACTCAGTTTGAGTGATATATACCTTCCACACTCAGTTTTCTGGTAATAATATACAAAACTCCCAACAGACCGGAATACACGTTTTCTTTATAAATGGTATAATTAAGAAAAAATTATTTAATTATAAATTTTAATTTATTAAAAATTAATTTAATTAATTTTAATTATTAATATATTAAATTATTTAAGACTTCTTAATATATTTAACCAAAACTAATTGCCTGTGTAGTATATAACAGCAAACTTTTAAAAAATCACTTTTATTAGATAATTATTAGTCAGTTCCAGACATTTATCCCTTAACTGGAAAGGATAGAAGAGGCCAGTTTCATAACAATTTGTAATTGTTATCAATTTTAAGACATATCGTATGTTAGCAAAATTTTTACTGAATTTATATTTTCACTCTATTAATTATATATATTGGATATATATTATCTCGTGAAGAGCTATAGAGTGCCTTACGATTTTTTTAAATGATTGTAGGTAAAACCTAATTTTGAATATTCTGCGAGTTTACATTGAAAAATCATTTTTATAGAGCTTTTGATTTATGAAATTATTATTATTGCCATATGTTAAATATTGCATTATTAATACAAGTGTTCCATAGCTATGTATATTATCTCGAGAAATTACAATATCCCTGATCTGAATTATAGCCAGTAGAGCGGTATTTCATGTAATATTTGAAGTTACTTGATCTATGTGTCCAAGTTGACGACAGTCTTAGTCGTGAAAATAAACCTTCAGTGAGGTTGTGATATAGCTATAAAACAGAGTTTAAATACTAAAGGTTAATTTGATGAAATGTTTTTCATCAATAACACCATTGGATTTTATATACAACAATTATTGTTGTGTATGAATCATTTGCTCAAAATATGTTTTTATTAATTCTATTTGAGAGCCCACATTTCTGAGAAACATAACTTTTATAATCCAAACCATATGTTGTGTTTTCAGGCTAAATTTCTATATAATGCAAGTATTGAATAAACAATAAATATCAAATTTAACTTATTGTTTTTATAACTTTATTTATTGTATAGTTGATATATACTTGATATATGAAGGCTTTTATTTTAATTTTATTTTTGAAATCAAAATTTACCGCTGACGAATTGTGTTTATTAAAAATTGATGAAAATGCATCACAACTTAGGACGGCGTAATGTGTTGTCTCAACAGTACTCTTTCTTTAACTCTTTTAGATCTAGACAATCTCATGCAAAGATATCCTTAAGATATTGCTTGCTTAAAGTCGATGAAATTATAATAGCGTCAGAAATCTCTCAATAACTATGGGGAATTGAGATTAATGGTAATCGATGGGTAAAGGTAACTGAAATATTTCATGTAATGAGTCTTTGAAAATTGGCGAAAACAATTAGGGTCTATTTGGAATAGGCTTAGTCAATTTTTGTACATCTATCGACTAGCTATATATCTATTTAACTGTTTGTTAATCGATCTATTGTCTATCTGACAATATCGACTTATCTGTTTATGGTTGTTTCTTTGCCTATTCGTCTGTTAATATTTGTCTATCCGTCTATTTCTGGCACATATTGTGTGGTACCAATCGAGCTAAAAGCATTCAAATACTTTATTTTCAAAAGCATTCCAAAGAGAAATAATTTTAAATATATTTTCATAAGTGATAATAGAACTTTAACTTACTACTATGCTATAGCATGAAAAAAACTGCAAAACGTTGGGTTGAAGTTTTTAACAGTGCACCAGTGCATCCGAATATAAGAACCAAGGTCTCTAATAAAAATGTGTTATGAAATCTGTTGACTATATTTGCATATAATGAAACATATCGCGACAAGTAAAATTTAAAAAGCATTAAATAAGAATAATGAAAACAACATTAAAACATCCAAAATTTTTTCTTAATGAAATTGAATGCCCGCTTAAGTGGGTTTTTGTACGTCTATACCGTCAAATTCTTGAAATCCATTAAACCGAAGAAAGAAAAAACGCTTAATTAATTTTAATGTTAATCGCATGTTCTTTAAAACATATTGACACATACATAATCCAGTACAGAGACGACGGTACAAAGACATACCATATATTTGCACATCTTAAAGGCCATTCGTCGTTGCACTTGAAAAGGGCAAAATTGTCTTCTGCAAATGAAAAATCAAACAAAAAGACTAAAAGGCCGTTGGACAGCGTGAGTGAAGACAGTCCTCAGCAAATTTAATGGAATAAATGAAATATTTTTCAGGAATTAAATTTGAGTGAAATATTTAAAAAAAACAGCCAAAAATCATAACAAATATTTATGCAGAGATATTGCCTACTGTCAATGGATCTTCAAGGGAGATCAAAAAATTTAATAATGCGAAAGTGAAACAAAAAGTAATGGGTTTTCACATTATATTGCTGGAGTCCACTACATCAAAAATAAAAAATAGATTTTCATGAGTCGAAAACTAAATACGAATGGACATAAACTCTAAATTATTTAGTGTTCAGAGCGATGATCTATGTTCGTAGTATCAGAAAAGAGAAAAGAGAAACGCGCTGAGAGGGGGAAAAGAGAGAAAGTATGAATAAGTATCAATCAAAAATAGGATTTACAAAATAGGATATTATTAGCATATTCAGAATAATATCAAAAACAAATATTTTAAAATAAAAAAAAATTACATATTGGAAAAGTCGCGGTGAAATAAGTCTGTCATATGAAGTTTGAATGAAAAACTGTAAAGATCGGTAAAATCATTTAATGAAATAATTAAGTTATATATTTAAAATATTCTCTATATGAACTGGACTACATTATAATATATTTATAATGTACAGTGTACTGTTCTGTACACTGTT